GGGGCCATTTAATCACGGTTGTCTACAACTGAAGACTTCCCAGAAATGGATGAAGTTTGCAATTATGCGTGCAAAGCGGAGAGGAACAGCCAAAGGAAGGCCTGTTTAAGTAACAAGAGTTCGCAGATCGCCAGCAATTTAGTCCCTCGCATTAGTGGATTATCGACCACAAGTAGGCGAGTCCTCAAAATATGCGCTCTAATCAGAATCATTATCGTTCCCGGCGTCAGCATCGCGCATTGTGCGAAATTCAAGCATTGAACCAGCTCGATATGCGTTGCCGGCATATAACCTATATGACATTGAAAGCGGTCAACCATTTGCGGAGTGTTGACGAGATGCCTCTAGGGTACGGTAAGTTGCTCATAACGATCAAGCAGTTCGGCAAGGCGGAGCTGACAAGAATACCACGATCACCGTACATAGCGGCTGAGGATCCCCAATGACAGATCGACCTTCGTTGTCGACGATGTCCACCACGTGCTCCACATCAGCCTAAGAGCAGACACGGAGTCTTGCGCGTGAATTAGTTTAAAAATGGTAGACTTGCGCGGCATCTTCCCCAATCACTAATCCTCCGCACATGGGCTCAGTGTCTTGCCAGAGTCAAGAAGATCAGAGGCGGGAGAGGGCTCAGGCGGCTGGCACAGCAAAAATCCGCACCTTAGCGTGTTCCACCACACCGGCTCGGATCTCACTTAGTGGGAGCGCCATAGACGCCACATTTAGGGGCCATTTGAGTCTGACCCTCAGTCCACCGGTCAGTCACTCCACAGAACCGCACACCAAGCTGACTGCGAGACACGAGTTATATTGTCAGTTGGCAACCTTTCAAGCCACGGCTTCCACCGCACCGTGATAGATCCAAGTGAGTCAGATTGTTTGTAGTGAGGAATATGCAGTAAGACTGTCGACCTCACTCTCCCACTCCCAGACATAAGCGCACCATCTGAGTCGGTCAGATGCCTAATTTTGGGGGAAGGTAGAGCGACTGACAGACCTAGAGAGCCCATATGAGCGCCCCACGTACGAACAGCGCCTAAACGCGCACACAAGGATTACACACACGCACACACGAGGGAAGGGGCTCAGATCTCACCGAGAGCAGAGAAGCCGCATGGAGAAACGAGCCGAGCAGCATAGTTTCCACTTGCATGAGAGGTGTCGGTGGTGCGTAATGCCTGAGGTGTTAATGTGTGGTACATGTGTTGATGGACGAAATGCGTGGTAATCCGGTCACGTCTCTGTAAGATGGATTCGCAGGTGATAAACCAAGCCGATGTCTGAGATGAACGTGCAATAACAGTGTTTGCATGATAGGTTGGGTGATGTTGGAACGGTTGTGGCTGTCAAGTTACTAATGGTGGGCGCGCTGGCGCATGGGGAGTTAAGTGGGCTGCGGATGTGAGGGTTATTTAATGTAAAAGATGTGTTTATATTGGGGAAAATTCTGTTGTTGTCGATACGCATGTGATCGAATAGACCCATGTAGTGTTCGGATGTGCTACTGTATGTGGTATCTCGGACAGTGATGCGTCGGTCTCAGTGCGATTCATTTGCAAGTGATCGACCAGGCCAGTGCTTGACGTAGATGTGAGGTCACAATGAGGGCAGCTTAGGACCAATTCCACATCAATGACGCTGGGGGTAATACGGCGATTGTGGCGGTTGGCGGAGCGTCGGGAGTACTCTGACTGGTGGATGGGAGTGGAGGCTGTGGTGGTGGTCGTCGTCGTCGTCGCCGTGGAGGTTGTGACAGAGATGACGGAGATGGAAGTGAGCGACGGTGGCGGGCCAAGTGGGTGCTGCGTATTTGTGTGGACGATCTTCGTACTGGACGCTGTGGCAACTGAAATAAGTGCGATCGGAGAGGCAGAAGTTTGGATTCTACGTGCTGTTGGAATATTGGGTCCAGAGATGTCCGACCAGGCCAATTCACGCTCGGGATATTCGTTGAGAGCGAGGGAAAGTTGGGAGTGTTTGGAGTTTGGCGTTGGGGGTCAGGGACGTCTGAAACTTGCGAGATTATTTTTTGGTTCTGGAAACGCGATTCGCTTGGCTTCCCAAATACCTGGTCCAATCTTCACTGCTATTCCCAGGTCCGTCCGTCCCTCGCGAGACCTTCCAAAGTCTTCGAAATGATATGTAATCGCTTCAGATAATTGTTCAGTGTCTCCGTAGAGCAGCGGGCTTACGTGCGTGTCGGCGAGCACCCGTGTTGACATCCTATAGAAAAGTCTTTTGAGTAGCCGCGCAACGTCCATCCACACGATCTGGGCGCACCATCGTAGTTGTATTTGACTGAGTACCGCGTTGATGCTGAGGGTTCCAGTTCGTTCCAGAACTTCTGTGTCCGGAATTCTGTGCTGCTACCTTGAGCTTTAGTACCAGTCGGAAACAAATAAGGTCGAAGTGGTTGAGATTCCGTGCTTGTTTTTTGAAGACTGCACAGGAATTCGCTCCATAAAACGACAGTGTTCAGATAACAGCTTTGGACGTCTCGAGTTTGGTGCTGAAGTGGAGACCGTGACAATCCTATACGGGCCTCTGCAACCGGCCGAAGGCCTGATGGTCTCTGGAGAGCAGGTTTGCTAATCCATTGCCGACTTTGATGTTGAAGGAGTGTGATGCTAAAATTGGTAAAGCTCTCTACAGGTTTTTTTAGTTTTGTGCCGTCGGAATTGACCTGAAGAATATTGTAGTCGGCGTTGGGCGCCGGTTGATTTATGAACACCTTTTTGTCCGCGTTGACGGTCAGTACGAAATTGGCGCAGACGGAGGCGAAGAGAATCATTCCACGTTCCATACCCGCATCTGCGTCGCAGTTGAGTGTGCAGTCATTCGCGAAGAGCATTTAATAGACAGAAGTCGTGGGGAGACGCAATGGGGCTCTCATGCGCCGGATGTTGGGAAGATGACCGTTGGTCCTTTAGACGATGTGGATTCCGGGTCATCATCATCATCACTGGCGGCATCCATTTGCATGGCAGAGAACGTGAGGCTAAAGAGGGTGGGGACGAGTACGCAGTCCTGCTTTGCTCCACTGGTTATTTTAATTATATCGAAGAGGGTTTCTTTGTCCGTGAAGAACGCCAGCATACCGTTTTAGAGTTGATACGAGACATGTAACGTCGTACACGAGGATTTCCAAAGTGCGGTCCAAAATGAGGAGAGGCAGACACCGCGAAATGCGCGCTAATAACTTAACAGTTAAGCGCAGAATTGAGCAGAGTCTACGGCATGATCTCATACTACCCCACATGGACCCGGTGTCAAGACAGAGTCAAGAAGACCGGACGAGGAGAACGTCGCAGACAGATAACTATGCGAGTGTGTACCTAGCCTAAAAGCCATGGAGCATGGCGCGCCGTAATATTCTCAACCTCGTTTCACACATGTAGCAGAGGAGCTGCATGTAGAAGGGCCTGAGAAACACACTTTCCACTTGCGTGAGAGGTGGCTTCTGGTTCCCGTGATGGGTGATGATGGAAGATGTGATGGTGTGGTGTAGTGTAGTCGGCGGGAGTCTACGGCAGGTATTTTGAATGCGCATATGGCCGAATAGGTGCATAAGGTGGGTGAATGCGAGGGTGCAGTGACGGGAGTTGAGACGAGTGCGTCTGATGTTTTTTGGTGCTACAAGCACTGACTCGCCAGTCTCTGCGCGCCGGGCCCCGAAGCGACCGACCAGGCCGATATGTGAGGTAAATGTACGGGGACAGTGTAGACAGGAAAAGTCGGCGGTGTCAGTGTCGGTTCTGGAGATGGTGGTGGAGCTATTAATGGCGGACACGCTGGGCAGCGGGGTGTGGGTTGATTTGGGCATGGTGGATGTGCAAGAGGTACCAGGTGTGCCGAGACGGCGGTCAATTCCACTCTCGTGGATAAGTATATGACCGAATAGTCCCATGCGGTAAGTGAATGCTCGGCGGCAGTGTGGACAGCGGAGGCGAATGCAGTGTGAGGTAAACGTGCAGTCACGACGAGGACAGGTGTGGATCGAGTCCATATCGCTGGCGTTGATGGTGGGGAGGTTGATGTTTGTCAGTGTGTCAGGATTGCGTGCCGTAATGGTGG